TTTTTAGATGCATTTCGAGAACTGAAGCTGGGTATGTCTTGGGACCCTCTTCCATCCTCTGTTTCATCCCTAACATACATTACAGGTGGGCTTGTATTTATTGGATGAACACCGCAGTTGTAAGCATACATATTGCGTTTATAGTAAGCTATTGACGTGGTCAACTTAGGAAAAGGCAGAGATTTTTGAAGATCGAATGTCAAAGAGTACCGCAGCGTTGAAGTTTTTTTTATCGACTTCCTTCTGTAGATATTTTCTCATTGTTTCAGCTTTGGTAAGGTGCAATTTCATTGCAGTTTCAATTTCAGCTTTCTTGGTTTCATCAGTCTTCACCTTCAGTTTCATTGACCAAGAGACACACTTCCTGTAAGTGTCTTTGCTCGGAGGTTTTAAGTGTGAATTGCATTTGGTATTAAAAACGTGGTAATAATACTTTTGTTTAACAGGTGACTTGTTTTCTAATACACACTTTTCTACGTATAAGTCGTACATCTTCTTGATTGTCAGTTCACTGTTCAAATATTTACGGTTGGGGTTGTGTGTACGAGAATAATGACTCGAGAATGATGAAAAATATACGATGTGAGCTCGTACATCAGCATCGTTTATTTTATTTTTAGCTGGAGCTCTTCCCTTTGCCTCAATAATGCTGTGAAATTCTTCCTTAACAAGACAACTTTCAGCTAATATAGTAGGTTTTAAGAAATAAATTCCACAAGGAATCTACGTTCCTGTAATAGGCTGTATACCATTAAAAAATTTTTATTAAAAAACCTTTATAAAAGGTATATATTTAAAAACCCCAACGGGCCAATTATACAAAACGTTTTTGCAATCCATATTCCATCATCAGTGTTCTAGAAAATATATAACCACTTAATTACAAAGAACATAAGGTTTAAATTTTGACTAAGGTTAATGCAAAGTGTGGTTAATACTTACTAGGAGTACATGAATATAGCCACTAAATATATGGGTAAAAACCCGTTAACAACTAATTAGTTACATTTGGTTTACAATATTTCTTATATGTTAAGATGTTAAAGTTACCGCTGGATAAGGTAACATGGCGACATATGACTCCACGTTGAAGTTGCTAGTCCTGAGACGGTGTGTCTACGAGGACTGTATAGAAGCAACTGATTGGAATGACAATGTTGATAAGTTAGGATGGACGTCGTAACAGAGCAGTCAATATAACTGTATGCGTCTACTTAAGACAAAGTATTTTGTAGTCTTTTCGTGTCTTACTATTTTCTCAAAAAATACCATAATTTTCTTCTTTTTTACTCAATTTTAACATAGCCATCATCAAACAGTTCTTTTTAAAATTAAGGTCAGTATATACCTTTAACTCATTCAACTTGTCCTTTTATAATTCTCATGTACCTAGTGTTGCCTTATGACAGATAGGGCCTTTTTATGTTATAAGTTGAGTACTATACGATCAACATACTACAAAACCATGTCCCAACCATCAAATTTTGTTCATTTCATATAATAGTTCAACGAACACCTTAAGACCCTCATATCCATTAAGAATAAAATTAAATCTGTCGGTCAGATAGCTCAGCGGGCTGTGCGGCTGCCTTTCATTCGCTTCACTGTCCTTCACAGGACTAGCAACTTCAACGTGGAGTTTTAAGTCGCCATGTTATTTTATCCAACGGTAACTTTAACATCTTAACATATAAGAAATATTGCAAACCAAATGTAACTAATTATTTGTTAACGGGTTTTTACCCATATATTTAGTGGCTACATTCATGTACTCCTAGTAAGTTTAACCATACTTTGCATTAACCTTAGTCAAAATTTCAACCTCATGTTCTTTTTAATTAAGTGGTTATATATTTTCTAGAACACTGATGATGGAATATGGATTCCGAAAACGTTTTGTATAATTAGCCCGTTGGGGTTTTTAAATATATACCTTATATAAAGGTTTTTTAATAAAATTTTTTTAAGAAATAGTTTTTTAGATATTTGAATACTCTCATAACCTGTATCTAGAAAGTATTTATATGAACGATTTTTGGGAGCACCGCTCCCATTTCGTATACGGGATCTCACAGGTTTTGCAATTTCACAGCCACACAAGTAGGTGTTTTGCTGGCTATAATCTCCTAAATTCCAAAACGAGTTAAATAATGAACGCTGTTTGTTTATATTAACTTTTTCTATACATTTTCGCCGACAGCGACAGTCAAAAGCAGATAAGAAAACTTTACTGTCTTTCAACTACTTTTCCCCATTCCCTAGGCCTTAGCGGCCTGTTGTGCGTAAAAATAAACTTTTCCCCTGCTGGTTTTGTATGTCATTCCACTGTTTCGCAAAGCCTTCCGTGAATTATGCTGCCATTTTTCTGGATTTCTCTACCTGTTTCGGGTAGCCTGCTTATTTTTAGGTTCGGTTTGTTCATTTAAATCCATAGCACATTAACTAATACAATTTCACAACTGAACACTATTGTAACAGATTTTAAACTGAAACATTCACAACGGTTTACATCGAACACAATGTTATTACGTTTGAACTAACGCATTCATAAAACGCGGGTGGACTTGACTCACTGTTGCGCTGAATCATAACAATTTTTCTTCGCAACTTATGCTGTCTACAGTCTAATTTCAAACAAGCAATTTGTTTGAAAATTTGTTTTTAATTTGAATCGTGTTTGTTTTTAATATTTTAATTATGAATGTAAATTATACAACTAAATGTTACATGTCCAAAATAGCTGCAATGCAAATTGTACCCACAAACCATTTTGATGTTATTAAAATAAATCACATTGCCGTTAACCTCAATCAAGTAAGATATAAACAACAAACAACTATTGAATGTATTTTACCATGTTTTTAAATAATTGTAGCTCTCATCTGATGATGCCAATGAAAATTGGCGAAATATTTGAACTGTTGAATAGAGTGCACTTTGCTTTCAAATCAGCTGTATACCCAATTAACCTCAACCTCCTTTATATATATATATATATATATATATATATATATATATATATATATATATATATATATATATATATATATACAGGGTGGTCCTTAAGTAATTGTACAAAAAGAAACCGTAGATTTTTACACTTTAAAATATTTCGATTTAAGTCAAGTTGCTTTAATAAAATGTTAATATTAAGAAAGATACAGGGTGTTAAAGTGGAAACTTAAAATTTTATTTTTTGGTATAACTTTCATGTTTGTCAACTTTTATGTATAAAATTTACAACTGGGTAGTATTAAATATCAGAAATTTTAATTTGGTGTGTACTTTGATGTATCTGATAGAGGGCGCCACATATGCCACATACGTGGCATATATTTGCACTTAACTTTTTTGCTTCTCAAGTTATGGGTATTTTTATTAAAAAATATTAAAGATACATTATTTTAACAAAAAAAAGGTATACTTCTTAATATCCTCAAAACTCAACAGTTTTCGAGATAATCGCATTTTAGAAATCAACTACATAATTCTGATTTATCTCAATTACTCCAGGCAACGAAAGAAAATTAAAGAAAAACATCAATACTTCTGAATTTTGGTATAAAATACCTTTACTAAAGTTAATAGTTAACGAATTATTAAATAAAATAAATATATCAGCAGGATAAAATGACAGGATTTGATAAATAACAGCATAATTGGATTTTACATCAAACATTTTACGTTTTGTATTAAATTAAAGGCATAATCAAAACATTTTATTTACAAACCAAATTAAGAAATAGTAACTAAATAACGTTGAACTTTTTGTCAAAGTAAGTGTTCAATATGTCCACCATTTTCTTTAATTCATTTGTCAATACATTCCATAAAATATCGTCTCATATTAAATAGCATCATTGGTTCTAAAGAAACTGCTGCAGTATTTATTATAAGTGTTATACGTATAATAATAAGTAATTTTTTGAAATTTTTATGAACTAAATAATTATATTAATATCTCACCACAAGAATATGACTTTCTTTTATTCTATTATTATTATTATTCTATTATTATTATTTTATTCTATTCTTTAGAATTTGTTTTGAATTGGTTCTTTAGAACCAATGATGCTATTTAATATAAGACAATATTTCATAGAATGTATCAACAAATGATTTAAAGAAAATGGTGGACATATCGAACACTTACTTTGACAAAAAATTTAATGTTATTTAGTTTAACAATTTCTTAATTTGGTTTGTAAATAAAATGTTTTGATTATGACTTTAATTTAATACAAAACGTAAAATGTTTGATGTAAAATCCAATTATTCTGTTATTTTATCGAATTCTATTATTAATTATCCTGCTGATATATTTATTTTATTTAATATTTCGTTAACTATTAACTTTATTAAAGGAATTTTATAACAAAATTTAGAAGTATTGATGTTTTTTTCTATTTTTCTTTCATTGCCTGGAGTAATTGCGTTAAATCAGAATTATGCAGTTGATTTGTAAAATGCGATTATCTCGAAAACTGTTGAGTTTTGAAGTTATTAACAAGTATACCTTTTCTTTGTTAAAATAATGTATCTTTAATATTTTTTATCAAAAATACCGCTAACTTGAAGAACAAAAAAGTTAAGTGCAAATGTATGCCACGTATGTGGTATATGTGGCGCCCTCTATCGGCTATATCAAAGTATGCCTCAAATTATAATTCCTAATATTAAATAGTACCCAGTTGTAAATTTTTATACATAAATGTTTACAAACATGAAAGTTATAGCGAAAAATAAAATTTTAAATTTCCACTTTAACACCCTGTATCTTTTTTAATATCAACTTTTTATTAAAGCAAGTTGACTTTAATCGTATTATTTTAAAGCGTAGAATCTGCGGTTTCTTTTTGTACAATTACTTAAGGACCACCCTGTATATATATATATATATATATATATATATATATATATATATATATATATATATATATATATTTACCCATATAACAATATATGTATATATTTATAACGAATTTAAAACTAATTTTCAGATTTGGTGAATATCATGGATTCATCCGTAGGAGAAATTGTATACAAACTATCAGAAAGGCAAATGTTGGAAAATTCAGTTATATTATTCTTTTCTGACAATGGAGCGCAAACTGAAGGGCTTTACCAAAATTATGGATCGTCATGGCCTTTTAGAGGTGTAAGTAATATAAGAGAAAATATGTTAAAATGCTTAGGTAATTTATTTATTACAGGAAATTTCAACGTTACGTTACGAAATCGTTGAAATGATCATTAAAGAGGAAACGAATATATGTGACGTTTTACAAAATATAATCAATATTAATATAGGCAAAATTTAACTACTTAGTTGAAGAAAAGTATTTTTAGTTTAGGAAATATTAAAAAGCTTTTTAATTTAACGCGATATTCCAATAAGTACCATATTGTTTATTTGATAATTTCGAATATTATACAGATGACCTCTAACTATATGGTATCAGAATATAACCAAATGTATCTACCTTTCCAAATGGACAACGGTGTCCTCGAGAGAGACGAGGTACGTAGAGGCAATAAACGACTCAGGTTACAGGGTTACACCTAGTACATAGGCGGGTCAAACATTACGGAAGGGTTGTGCGCACGAATTTATAGTAGGGGTGAAAATTTTAACATTTCTCACTAGGAGAACTATACCGTTGTATTTCTCATTATTTATCATTGTTGGTGGTACGGCCGTAGTTGAGCCTCTGCCTTCCTTAGTTTATTTCTCAATTGAGTTTTAGACTTTTCAGCTTGTTATCAGTTTGCCAAACCGATTTTCCTAGCATCCTTATCCACACTATCCACCAAGCGGATATAGAGGGTTCTTAGGAGAATGTGCAAATGGCGAGAACAATTCGACATACTAGTTAAGCATAACAGTGTCACACTGAGTTGGTTGCCAGGCCATTGGGGAATACATAGCAGAGAGCTGTTGAACTTTTTAAAAGAGGATCAGCTACAAAATAGCTGGGTCCAGGGCCGACTTGGGAATATTAATATATTTATATAATATAATATAATTCATTGAGCCAATCAAAATAATGTAACTTAATTGTTATCAAATGTAAAATAAAACTCCTTATATTACCCGTGTTCGATGGATTCAAAAATTTTCTAGTTGTCTTTATCGGGATAGAGAAAAAGAATAATAATAAAAGAGAATATTATATTAAAAAAAATTACGTTTCTTTATTTAATATGAACGAATAAAACAATTATCAAATTCTGCCATTATCTTATCAATTAGCATACAAGAAAATAAATGAAATTTTTATAATAATAAGATTTTAAATTTACATACATTTATATTAAGTGAAAACCAATTTTACTTAAACTTTCCTTTACTTGAAACAAAACAAAAACTTTAAACTTTTGATTAGTCAAACAAAACTCAATTCTCAAATTTGAATGATGTCAACGATGAATAAGCATGATGTCAACATAGATACTTCAAAAATACCAATTTCAATTGTTCAAACACTTACAGCTTTTTTTCTTATTGAATTGTATGTTGAAACATACCCAGAAAAGTCCAGTCTCCTCAATGATGTGATCTCTCCTTTTTGGCAACTCCGCTCCTTCCTAGCGTCTCTGCAAACCTCTTGCACTACCCAAAAAACACCTGATTCACTTCTCCAAAAAACTCAGCTACTTATTTATGACACAAGGACCTCCTTTTGTCTACTTGATCCCGTAAAAATTACTTTCATATATAATTCACAAAATGTCCACGGTAGATACACGGACCTCTTTTAATTATTGTTATCTCCCTCTGCAACACTATTCACTTCTTTTCACAATGCCAGTATCCAAATTCACGAACCACACCCTATCTTGAGACAAACGACTGTTTCCTTCGATGGCCAAATTATAACTAACTTCTCCGGTCCTCCTAATTGGCTCACAAATTCCCATTCAAAATACGACCGTCCAATCAAAAGCTCAAATTGTGTTTACCATGATTTTGGAAAAGCCTAATTTCTGTTTCAGAGAAAAACTAAATAGCCTACTTTAAAATTGGTTTTGTCAATACACAATTTATACATATTTCAAAAGATTAGAATATGGATTAGAATTTATTCCTCGATTATACAAACAATGACAATATTAACTTACAGCTAAAATGCCTTCTAATTCTACACAAAAGGGGTTTTTCGATAATTTTGTTGGACACGGACAAAGTCGTTTGTCAAACAAATTTCTATTCTTATCTAAACTAAATCTTATCTTAAATTACTATATACAATTTGTTTATACTGATATCTTAAAATTTTATTCCGATGGGTCTTTTTATTTATTTTCTTTGGTTGGGAAAGAAGAAGTACGACTATATATATATATATATATATATATATATATATATATATATATATATATATATATATAGATGCTTTCAAAACTCGAAAGCGAAACGTCTTCAAAATAGATAAAGTAGCCTATCAACTTGGTCTTTTATTTCTCCACCTTGAGACCGATATAAGAACCCACCACTCTTCTGAGTGATCCTTATATATATATATATATATATATATATATATATATATATATATATATATATATATATATATAAAGGAGTACGACCGTCAAACAAATATTCAATGAAGTAGGTTTCAAAAGAAAAAATCTTTTGATCACGAGGATATCGGTCAAAGGAGAAATAATACAATGAAATCACAGGTCCATTCCTATATTTGAAGACGTTTCGCTTGTGGAGTTCACAAGCTTCATCAGTTCAGTCTAAATAATATTACCATGGTGGTAGGCAATAATATACAAAAACATGGAAAAAATAACTTACGAATGGTGAGTAAAGTATAAAAAGGTATAAACAAACACACCATTCTCTTGGTAACTGTGATCAATACATTAAAATGTTGTTCAAATCGTAGCTAGAATGTTTCTGTGTAGTAGCATTTGTGTATTATAATGCGAAAAAGTTTAATTTACAAATGAAAGGAAGAATAAACACTACTACCAAGCTCAATAAAAAACCCGTCAACATTGCACGTAAAAAAACTAACTTACAACAATAAAAAGTAGATATACAATTAACAAATTAAAAAAATGACAAAAACGCACTGGCACAGAGCTGAATTGTTATATCAAAAAGATTTTATACTTTACTTTAGGCCGTTTCCTTTGATCATTTATTACCACATCCCAGCTACCTATCAACCTTCTCTTTATTTCCCACTAGTACATACTCTTAATTTCAACCTTTTACATCACATACTGATTCATACCTAATACAAACCCTCACTTATTTGAACATTTATATTTTCCCTCCTTGACTAATCGCCATTATAAATTCTAGATTCCAACCTTTCTTCACTACATATTGGTTTTGTAGACATTTCTACTTAACAATTCTATTTACATAAGTGTCCTCTGCGTTGTAGCTTTGCGTTTCTTGTGTATTGCGCCTGCTTGTCTCATTCTCCCCCAAAAGTTTGATCAACTCAGAACTAATAAATCCACACATTCTACTGCATTAAAAATGCCGGCAGTTGGACTTTCGTTTTCGGATTAGAATCCGTTAGAGTGAAAAGCGACCTAAAGTAAAGTATAAAATCTTTTTGATATAACAATTCAGCTCTGTGCCAGTGCGTTTTTGTCATTTTTTTAATTTGTTAATTGTATATCTACATTTTATTGTTGTAAGTTATTTTTTTTACGTGCAGTGGTGACGGGTTTTTTATTGAGCTTGTAGCGTTATAACTGCTACATTGCCTGCTTTCTTTCTTATGTTAATATATTTCGTTAATTCTATTCTCCAATTTCCGTATCTTCTGTCATAATTCTGATACAATCTATATCCTAGAAAATATATAGAAAAATAAGAGATACAATGGAGGATATAGAAGAATATGAATTATGACAGAAGATACGGAAATTGGAGAATAGAATTAACGAAATATATTAACATAAGAAAGAAAGCAGGCAATGTAGCAGTTATAACGCTACACATTGAGGTCACTGCAGGAAAACTATTAACAAGGGCGTTAATATTTTCCATTTACCCATTAGGAGTGTTGCGTTAGGCATAATTCTTTATCTTTTGAAGTGAAAGTAATCTTATGCATATATCTTCTTTTAATAGAAACTTCTGGTGTAAGATTATGAAGCTTTGAAGTTTTTGATTGCATTTGAATTGTCTTTAACATTTTAAATACATACGTCTATATTTATGCAGTTCTAGTTCTATTTCTTTTGTGTAGATCCCTAGATAGTGTTTAGTGTTATAGCAATTTTATATGATATTACCACAACTTGTCTTATCTTTGCTTTGTATTTTCCTTTATCATAAGTAAGCCAAATTTTATGCAGTATCTTTAATGTCTTTTGTGTAGAACTTTGACTTACTAGGTATTGTGAAGAATATACTTATCTTTATCTAACAATCAAAATTACTTGTGTTACTTAATTATCTTGATATTTACCTACCTTTAATTTTTGATACTATTTGGTACAAAAATTACTTTATCTTATACTAGCTTAATGTTAATTTGCTGTTTTATTGGCTTGCCTTAGTCCATAAATATGCATATGCAATATGCCGAGAATTCATTCTCATTATCTTATCTTTAATAAACAATGTAATTGTTTCCAGACCATACTGTCTATTGAAGTTTAGTCATAATAAGTTTCTCTGATTTAGTTCACAATGATTGCCCTCATCAATGCATAACTATAATGAATTTTCTTTTTATTGAGTGTTATATTTTATTGAAATTTTTTTTTTGCATTTGCAAGGCAGATTTAACCTTATGCATACTACTATTTAGAAATCTGGTGTAGGGTTGTGTCTCTTTGAAATGACAATGGAAAGGTTTTGTTTTTTATACCCTCTTGTATAACTTTGCTCTATACAATTTTTCTGTATAGATTACTTTATTATTCCAACAGGTGCATAACGTTTGGATATAAATCAAAGTATATTTATGACTAATTTTTCTTCTTCAGTTCAACTGAGTGTAATTTTGCGCAGTTTTCTTTTCATCTTGTGTAAATTTTATACTTAGTAGATGTCTAGATTGGTCTTACTAAATTTTTACTTATTTCTTTTATATTTTGACGTTTACCTTATCTTTCTTAACTGCTTATAATGTTCTACTCATACTATCTCATGCAATATATGCAACTAAAATCTAG